AGACAGAGTCTCAAGCTGTCACCCTGGGTAGAGTGCTGTGGCATCACAGGTCACAGCAACCTCCAACTCTTGGGCTTAAGCAGTTCTCTTGCCTAAACCTCCCAAGTAGCTGGGACTGCAGGTGTGCGCCACAGTGCCTGGTTATTTTGTGATTGTAGTTGTCATTGTTGTTTGGCAGGCTTGGGCTGGATTCGAATTCACTGTGTATGTGGTTGGCACTCTAGCCACTGAGCTACAGGTGCCGAGCCTCATTGGTCACTTTTTAATAGAGGCTCCTAGCGAATACTGGGGATGCCAAGAAAATGTATGTTCATTGTAAGTGATGTCATGTATATATTATATATTATGTATGTACTTTTAGCACCTGTTGTAAATGCAGAAATCAAATGTGACTTGTATTCATCCTGTGTTATTGATATATATTGAGTATTACAATTTTAATACAATTTTTTCCTTTCTTAAAATGTGTATACATATTTTTGGTTTTTTGCTTTGTTAAAATGTGTTTACATGTTTTTGGCACCTCTGTAGTTACATATTTTTTTCATTATAGAAAAAAATGCAGTATTTTACAATAAAACTGGAAATGTCATTAAAATAGCTAAAATTGCTAATTTTTTATATTTTCATTTAGTAAAAATTGGCTTACGTCACCCAGATGCTGTAGTGGAAACTAGCTCTTTATCCAGCGTCACACCTCCCGATGTTTGGTACAAAACATCCATTTCTGAAGAAACTATTGATAATGGCTGGTTGTCAGCATTACAACTTGAGGCAATTACATATGCAGCACAAGTAAGTGGTAACATTTTATAATTGCTTATAATGTTTATCTTTTTATCTTACTTCATATAATTTAGTTGTTACAATACAAAGATAAATTTTTCTTGGATAAAAAATATGTAACTGGCTTGGCCCTTGTGGCTCAAGTAGCTAAGGTGCCAGCCATATACACCTGAGCTGGCAGGTTTGAATTCAGCCCAGGCATGCCAAACAACAGTGATGGCTGCAACTAAAAAATAGCCAGGTATTGTGGTAGGCACCTGTAGTCCCAGCTACTTGGGAGGCAGGGGGCAGGAGAATCGCTTGAGCCCAGGAGTTGGAGGTTGCTATGAGCTGTGATGCCACGGCATTCTACTTAGGGCGATAGCTTGAGGCTCTGTCTCAAAAATAAAAGAATAAAAATATGGGCATTGCCTGTGGCTCAGTGAGTAGGACTCTGGCCTCAACAAAAAAATAGTCAGGCATTGTGGCGAGCACCTGTAGTCCCAGCTACTCAGAAGGCTGAGGCAAGAGAATCATCTAAGCCTAAGAGCTAGAGGTTGCTGTGAGCAGTGTGATGCTGCCACGGCATTCTTTGAGGGTGAGAAAGTGAGACTCTGTCTCAAAAAAAAGAAAAGAAAAAGAAAACCATACAGCAGGAATATGGAGAATGCATTTCCATTGGAAATGGGAAATGTCATAACCTTTTTGGAATTTATTAGGAATATCTATTAAAATTAAAAACACAGAAAAGTTAACAGGACAGTAACGCAAGCCAGTTGCAACCAGTCCTCTGGAGGTAGTTAGACTGGGGTGGAGACTATAGAGACTGAAGTGGCAGGGAAGGAAGAGGACTTGATGTCTCAGCCAGTTTTTCTAAGAACATATGGTTTTGGCTACGGATAATTCATGTGATCTCAATCAGAGAAGCTAATGTAAGGGAATTCTGTCCAATTTCCTTATATTAGAAGATCATGGACAATCTTAAGTATACTATGGATGTTAGAGAACAGAATGCTTTTATGATTTCAAAACAATCATGAGAGATGAGATAATTCCATGTCATCATTGTGTTAGCAGCATGCATTGACTTTTTTAGGGCTGTGTTTTATGTAAACATGAAAGAAAGAGATGATGGAGATGTTACAATTATAAATTTATCCTCCAAGGCAGTAAAAGCATTTCTTGATTATGCCTATACTGTAAAAACAAAAGTAATAGATGATAATGTAGAAATATTCTTCCATTTCTTCTTCCAGTTGTCATCATTTCTTCCATATTTCCTTCCTATCCAGAGCTTGCAGGGATTTTTTAATAAAACGTTAATTGTTGTTGTTGTTATTATTATTTGAGACATAGGCTTACTCTTTTGCCCTGGATAGAGTGCTATGGAGTCATAGCTCACAACAACCTCAGACTCTTGGGCTCAAGATATCCTCTCTTGCCTCAGCCTGCTCAGTAGCTGGGAATATAGGTGCATACTGCAACACCTGGCTTATTTTTCTATTTTAGTAGAGATGGGGTCTCACTCCTGCTCAAGCTGGTCCTGCACTCCTGAGCAATCCACCATTCTTGGCTTCCAGAGTGTTACGATTGCAGGTGTGAGCTACTATGTTGAACCAAAAGTATTGATCTTAAAAAAAAAAA